AAAAATATATTATATTATATGAAATTCCTAGGTTTATGTAGAATATCCAATTCATTTATCACTTATATTATATGAATCACATTGATTCATCTCTAATTTTTATTCAATTCATGATATATATTATTAGAAATTATTGTATAAAATCACTTTTTGTCTCAATTATGCTCTTCAAATTAGTTTTAATGGTGGCTAATCATTAAAAAAAATTAAGAACAATAATATATATTTTATATAAAATATAAACATTGAAAATATAAAGATCATACAATTTTATATCAAATTAACTGGATTACATTGTACCCTTAGACAACTAAATTAGTTCATGATCAAAGAAAAAAATTAAATATCTTATAATGAATACAAGAGTATTTAATATTATAAAACATAATTAAAAAATACGTAAAACTAATTTAGTCATATAAAATTTTAAGTCTTAATCTTTTCTTATATTAAATTTCTTTTAACTGTCTCTCTTTGTCTTCCCTAAAAGCTTCATAATTCTGATACTAAATGAGTATTTAGAAGATATTAGAATATCTAATTGACATATACGTGGGACTCAAATCAAAATAATGAAGGCCGTACGGATTTAGTGAAAATCGCATAGAAGTGTCGACCGCCGGATTTGGTTTAGCTTCTAATTTTTTAAAATCTTTTTATTAACTTAAAAAATGTAATATATTAATTAAAATAAATATTAATATATTTTATATATTTTTAAAATTAAAATAATAATAATAATAATAATAACCTACAACTCATCCTAACTTTCTTAAATGAAACTTCAATTTAGCTTATCCATTTTAAAAATAAGTACTTATGAATCCATTTAACCCAGCTTTTTTAGCTCATATATAACCTTTTTGACCTTTAGCAATTGTCAAGGAACGGGGAACAGGGGAAGGGATTATGAGTATGGACCGTGGGGACCCACTACAAATGCTAATCTATAGAGTAAACCACTTTACTCTCCCCTGTGGTTTGCTAGCTTAAATGTAACTTGCAAAAGTCACGGTCTAACCCAAACCAAACCGAACTCTTGTTTTTCATGTTCTCCAAATCACGGATGTAGATTTAACAAATCTCTTAGTCAAAACTCAAGGGTGAAAATTTATGCAATATTATATTATAAAAGTAAATATAATGGATCTTCATGAGTATAATATAATGATTAGTTTTCAACAATATCTTATAAATATCTAAAAAAATTTTTGCTATCAATTTTTAATTTGTCAAATCTCCTTTCCCACTTTTGATCTTTATCACACTTTTTAGAGCAAATAGGGCTCACAAATATGAGTTTAAAACTAGCATGTCATATAATTTTGATTGATTTTTTGTTGGCCAAATCATGTAAACTTTCGCCATGTTCACTTGTCACGGAGCAGGCATAGCAATTTCAATACTTCCAAACCGAAACATTTTGTAATTGGACTCATGGATTGAGCGCCGATATTTTAGACTAGTCCATTAAAATGATGGAGGTGGGCTGACTCGGTCCATAAGAAGCCTATATTTAGTCCAGTCCGTTAGGGTGTAATGTTTTCCAGTTTTGGCCTTTTGCCTTTTTGCCTTTTGGCATATTCAAGAGGCAAAACATGCGGATCACATCTTCAACTCACTTCACATGCAAACCAATTCCTCAACTCACATGCAGTGGTAAATCAACCCCTCTGTTAAGGCTGGCATCATCATTCCGTTAACTATTAACGGTCCGATCCGCTCATAAGCTATCCTTTGCATCTGACGTAGCCTTTTTTCTGAGATGGATGCTGAGAGTGGATTTGGGAATCTGTGTCTACTTCTCCTAATCTGGCTTATGGGCTCCTGGGTTCAAGTTTTCCAGACCCGTTTCCAGGAGATACTGGAGAGGGGTTTCCGTTTCCTGGCATGGAGCACCCTTCCGGTGGGTTTCGGTTTCCGAACCTAAGGGGTGGTGCCGGTGGTGAGTTTGACACGGATTAGTGGATGGATAGTTTAATGAACGGTGGGGATTCAACGGATAGTTCTAATCTTGCTTTCGGTTGCGACGCCTGGCAGAACAATGCCGATTTCGGTCTCTACGGTGCCGATCCGTTCACTACGTGCCCGGCTCAAATCGATGTGGCGTGCTCTCCACCATATGATCTCAACCGAGTCATCTTCTCACCAGACACTCAGAAGACTGCTAACCCTCTCCAACCCCAAACCCAGGTTCCAGCTCGGGCCCCATCACCACCACCACTGCCGGCGCTGCAGTTGTTGGTTAAAGAGAGTAAACCAAACAATATTCCAGCCCAGAACTTACCCAAAAGCGATGAAGATGTGCTGACCTCCTCTGGTTCACCGGAAACCGAGTCAGCACTGCCGCTATTCAGAGCCCTACTTGACCGTGCGCGGTTTGTGGAATCGGAACCAAAACGGCGGTGAAGTCGCTGATTCGAATCCGAGGATCGATATCGAAATGCGGAGATCCAACTGAGGGAGTGGCTTTTTACTTCACTGAAGCACTCTGCAACATAGTCTCTCTCCAAGCAGATAAAAGACGTTGGTTTTCCCTAAACCTAGATCCCCAGACCTCTAATTTTATTTCCCTAAACAATTTAAGGGTATAAAAATAATTTAATTGATTGGATGATTTTGAGATATTTGTCCATGTGGCACCTCCACCTCAGCATCTATCTCAAAAAAAAAAAAAAAAAAACCATGTCAAACGTAAAAGGGGACTTATGAGCGGACCATTAAAAATTAACGGAATGATGATGTCAACTTTAATGGAAGGATTAATATATTACTGTAGATGAGTTGAAGAGTTAATTTGTGCATGAAATGGGTTAAAGGGGGAATTTGTCACCTGTGAATGAGTTGAGAGGATGATTTGCATGTTTTACCTATTCAAAAAGGGGGGATGGAATCATGGTTAATAAATTAGAAGACAGAACAAAACAAGACAAACTACTTCATGTCTCATGACATGACTATTCTTCTTTTAAGCTTTTTAATTGAGTTTAATGCTCTACTAAAATCACAGATTTTGGCGTAAATACGTTGAAGTATGTTTTAATTTAAAAGAATTAGTCTTTTCTTATTCAAAAGAATTTAACAATTTTAATTTTGTTTGTGTAAGGTTTGTGGGCATTGTGTTATAGAAAATTATTGTGTTTGAGAGGTTCTGTTTTTGGTTTGGATATTTTAGGAAAAAAGACCATTGCATTAAGAGGCTTTGATTTGATAGTTGCAGGAATTGCTTGGAGGAGGGAGGGTGACGAGTGGACGGAGATCAATCTAGGATTTTTGTCGAATGTGTTTCTTTTGTTTTAACCCAACCAAGTAGACCTAGAAAGGATTAGTGTATTTTCGTAGGAAATCAAGTTTGAGAATTTTTTTTTTTGAAAGTTAATTTCTAAAAATCAATTTCGTAGGAAATCAGTTTTAAAAACTGAAAATATATCAGTTGACTTATTTTTTTAATGATTGTTAAATATAAAAAAAATAAAAAATAATTTTTAAAACTATTTCAGTATTGATCTTTATCTCAATACATAAAGAAGTTGGATCTTCTTTTACTTCAGAAAAAAATTATTTTCCTGATAATAATTGATTAAATAGTTTCAACATGAATCACCTTCATTCCATTTATTGACATTTCTGGTCAACATAAACATATCCATTTCTGTCTTTTAATTTCATATCATATTTGATGTCGTTTTTCTTGTTTAATTCTGTTGAGGTGCTGGAGGAATTAAAAGTCATTATGGCGGAATACCCAGATATATAGATTGCAGCAAACATCCTTACAAGTTGACTTCAAAGTGATACATTTTACAAAAAAGGAAAAAAAAAAAGAAAAAGAAGAAAGGACTTCGAAGGAATACAACCCATGCAAATTTTTAGTAGAATACACAACATGACAAGACATCGCAATTTAAACAGGGAAACAATTTTGTGTGAGCAGCTAGCTTCACTTATTGCTAACTCTGGAATGACGAACATAACCATGAAGATATGCGTTGCGAACTGTCTGGCGAAATGTTTTGCGATCTGCCTTGCGAACTCCGGAATCACTGAAGAAAATAACGAATTTCAAAAACACTTTCAAGCACAGAAAGTAGAAGCAAGAAAACCGCACCAAAAAAGGAAATGACCGCCCATGGAGTGTTAAAATAATTGTGCCATAAATTTGCCTTCCACAGGTTCCACTTTCTCTTGCAATGCTTATTCACTTCGATGAACAACCCAGCATAAGAGAAGTTGTCTTTGGAGATAAACACAGAGTCATGGACTTTGTTAAATAGGGTAGCGACCACTACATGATCACCTAACCAGTTGTCAATAACTCTGTGGCGACAAAGTAATTTAACATCCTTTCCTTTGTTGATGAGGCAATCCATGAATATAAGATAATCCGTGAAGCATTTTGAAGATGTGCCCTCGAAGCATTGTTCGTAAACAACTAAATTTCGAAGAATGGACTCTGTATGGTCGTTGACACTTAAAGTTGGAATTGACATTACCCCCTTTTGAAACTTTATATCAAACAATCTCCCCTTGATTTTTTTAAAATTTATTCCTGCCTCGTTGAGCTCTGTTGCAGAACTAATGAATCGCCATTCCTTACTATTAGCGTCTGGAGCACGCTTGCACCACAACCTTAACTTATTGAATGGCCAAAAACCAACCAACGATGCTGGCCACACTGCAGTTCCCAATATTTCCTCCGAAGAGGCGGGTGACGGAAAAGCTATCGACGGTGCACGACAATATTGCCTCGATGAAATTGGTACCCTTGACCCTATTTCTATTTCCTGCTCATTCTCTGCTAACTCGATTTCCTGATCTGCCTCTGCCAACTCGATTTCCTGATCTTCCTGAGGCTCAGGTGGTGAACTCCGTACTACCTCCGATGAACAGCAATTAAGCTCTACCTCAGGGCATTGCGACCTTATAACTTTCTCTGGCAAACAAAAAATACGGACTTCCTGGAAATCAGGGGAAGGAGCCTGGGAGCTATCATGAAGTAAGCCCAGTAGATGCTTGATATCTTGATTCTTGGGTATTCCAAGAGATCCTGGCATTATTTTAGAGAAGAACTTAATAGCCATAGCCTTGAAGTCCTTTGCTTGATCATTTGACATCACAGTCATGTCAAACAACTTTAAAAGTATAAAGAAAGGAAGTTGATTTTCAACTAGCAACAGATCAAGCATTGCTCTACTCGAAAAAAAAGGTGCAAAAGGAAGGTCGTTTTCGCCCATGGTACTCTTTCGAATAAGCTCAATGATAAAGCATCCATCAAGGAGCATCATTTCTACAAATTTTTCTCCACCAATATGATTCAAAGGTTCTGAATAAAATTCGCGAGCTTTTTCTTCCATGTCTTTCAAAGCTGTCAAATATCTCTCCAGACTTCTTTCTGTTCTTCGCACAAGTAGCTTTTTAAGACAACACATTTTGTACACCTCCATTTTCTTCAACTGACCTTTACCATGGTGGTAAGGGCCAATGGAGATCACTTGAGGGTCATACGCTTGTTTACTTATCCGGCGCAAATGATTAGGTACTTTGAAAATGCTATGGCTTGGCCAGTCGGTGGGAACATCACGGTTGAGCTTTTGAAGTAGTCGACTGTGAAGAGGAGGTCCATTTGTTCCACTTGCCATCACCTGCTCTACATAAAAAATCAAATGATTAGGGGGGGCGTGGGGGAAGGAGAAACAGATTAGCATTTTTTTTTTTTTTTTATGAAAACAGATTCGCATTTTAAGTTTAATAAATATATCCAAAGTCGAAGAACATTAAGGCAGCTCCAACTTCTACCGAATTTTGTTCATTAGCATCCTTGTACTAGAAAATAATGGCCATTGGAGTCCGCATATAAAGAAACAGTGGAGCTCCTCTCTGATCTAAGCTAAAGAAAAATAGGAAAAAAAAAAAGGAAAAAAAGAAGAGAGAATAGAGCCAAAAACAGGGGATGGAGGAAACCTAAGGAAGAAAAGAAGAGAGAAATTTTATTTTTTTATTTTTTCTATTTTTTTGGGTTCAGTGGCTACTGGTGATGGGTCAAGAAGAGTTTTCATTTTTTTTTCCTTTAAAAAATTATAGATATTTGGTTAACCAAGTTTTTTAGATAAATTTTTAATAAAATGAATTAAGGATAATTTTTTATTATTTTTTTATAATTATATATATATTTTTAAATAAATAATTTTTATTTATTTAAAATTTGTAATATTAAGTGTATAATAAAATATAAAAATTATATAAAAAATTATTTTTTTATATGTAATTTTATGGGCTTTTTCAAGAATACCCAATCATTCAATTAAATATATTTTAAAGTTTCAATTAATCGGAACCAATTTTTCTTTGCAAATTCCCAATAAATTAATGATGAATATAATTTCATAATAATGAACAAAAAATTATATGGTACATTTAAAATTAATGATTATCAATTAATTATTTTATTTTTTAAAGCATAATTTTTTTTACTAATTAATTATATCGAAAATCCTTAATTCCTTTATAATCCCATTTGCAGAGCCTTTTTCTGCTTTCAATTTCTCTTTTCTCCATCTTTAGCCATCAAGGTATAAGGGGGAAGATTGAATCGGGCAGAGTAAATGTTGAACAGAACGATTTGATTCAAAGATGGAGGTGCATATAGGAAAAGGATAGGTGGCCCTGGAGATTGGATTTGATTCTGTCAGCCGGCGGTGTAGAGCAACCAAGTTAGTGGGTAGACAGGGGAAAGGAAATGGCCGGAAAAAGAAAAGAGGAGAATGAATCCGACAGCTTGCCGGGAAACTCAGGGTCACAGTCCAATCAGGTGAGTAGATCCCTTTCTATTTTTATCATTTTCAGTTTTCATTTTGTTATTTTCCTAACATTCGCTTTCTTTGGACAGAGATGATTTGGGTATAAGCTCAATGACGTGGAGACCAGAAGATGGGTGAAATTCCAAGCATACAGCTTTTGGACTCTAGGCTGCCAACAACTCTCATATCTCCTTATTCCTACCATGACTGGAAAAAGGGGATTAGAAGGGTGACTAGATGTGTATTGAACGTGAAATTTGGAGTTTTTTTTTTTTTTTTTTTCTGTTAAAGGTGTGATTTCGGGGGTGAAAGAAAATTTAGTTTTTTGTTTTGATTGTGAGTTGAACAAAGAATGTTTCTGTGAGTGATGTGAACTGCGTGTAGATGGAAGCTTTGAAAAATAAGTCTGGCTTTTGAGCTTCCTATAAGTTTTGAAAGAAGCCTTTTTGTTCCACCGACAATTTGGAGCAAAGGATTTAGTTGATGGCTGGGAGTGTGTAGTGCTAGCGATCATGCAAATTAAAATGAAAGTATGCAATATTAGCATGCAATTTAAGAAAAAAAGGGGGAAGTTCCTGGGACAAAAGTCAGTTGTTAAGTGATTAGGTTGGACACTACAAGTGGTTTAATACCACAGGTCTCCATCGCTACCGCATGGAGGGCAAGGTGTTGAATCCTCCTGCTACCGCCAAAGGATTCCTATTTATTAATTATTTGATGCACATAAAAACCCAGACCAACATGCTTATGGTCTAAAAATTCTATCTAAAAAAATGTTAGAAGAAATGAAAATAAATGCAGTAGATGAAGAAAAACGAATCACTAACCACGTTATGCTTCTACCTTCACCCTTGTATTTACTGTTTCAATTACCTCTTTCAGGTTGGCTCTTCCGTCTTAAATTATATGGACTCCAGCAACTTTCCCTTTTTTAGCGTTTCTTTAACCTCCTTCCAAGTTCCAAACTCTATTCTCCTAAAAATGAAAAAACCCCTCCGACGTGGTATGTTGATTGGCTGCTTTTATAGCCAAAGATTGAGTAATGGCCCTAGGTTTAGGGGTGTGTATGTTTAGGTACAAATCAGGCTATGAGCTTGACTTAAAATCTTTTACTACTGCTTTTTAGATTTGCTAGTTATATCTAAAGAGCCATGCTAGGAACACTCGCCATTTGCACTCTCCAAGCAACACTCCCATTTTCATTGGGGGCCACGTTATGCTGGTTTGGGAGCGGTAATCGTTTCATACTTTCATAGCCCAAGCTTACGTGGTCCAATAAAAAAGGCATGTGTTGGCTGGAGAGTGCAGGAGCCAAGTGCCTCTAGCACTGCTCATATGTAAAGACTTAAAAAGATTTTTATTTAGTATTGTTCTTAACAGATGTTGAGTAATTTATAAGTATATATTTATATATTTAATTTGAATAAAAAATTTATTATTTATATGAATTGTTATTATTGTATGTGTAATTTGTTAAAAATAGACCATCTTACTTAACTTTTATTTTTATATTTTATTATTTTAATTTTAAAAATTATTATTATATGAATATTAAATATAATTAATATATGTAAAATTTTAATTATATAATTATAAGTAACAGGTTAATTAAACAAATTGGTTAAATAAAACAAATAAACAATTTTGAACCTTTATTTTTGACACTTAACTTGATATTTATGAGTATATTATTTTTATATCTCTTATTTACTGATTCTTTTCTACAATTTTGAGTATAACACATATCCAAACAAGTAAGATACTTGTAAATAAGAGTGTACTCGTAATCAATACTCACCCTTGCCTTGGTTATTGTTGTGCCTTGGCCTATCTTGCAATTTTATATTACTTGGAGACTTGGGTTTGCAATATCTTCCTTTTTTATTTATTATTTATTATTTTTATTAGGCTAAAGAAAAAATAATAATAATAATAATAACAACTAAAAGGTTATAGCTCATTTGCGCAATAATCTTCTTCTTCCTTTCTAGGAGGATGTAGATAAAAAGAAATTTAATGACCTCTGATGAAATTTGAATACAAAAAATTTATAAAATTGGATGAAGGATGAATGGATCTAAAGAGAAATAAAAAGAATTTGAAGAAAAAAGAGCAGATTGTAACAAGTGAGAGAACTAGATTGAAAGGAGACAAAACGTGCAACCGAGGAAAGGATAAGAATATGAAAAAAG